TTTATACTTTTTTTTTTATGGCGTTTAGGTTATTCTGCAGTAGCTCACAATTGGTTGGTTAAGTTTCGAAGCAACTGCATATAGCAGTATCTAAATCGCCAACTGAATCATTCACAAACAATAAAAAAGTGAAGGCTCTACATTGGAACCTTGAGGGACTCCAGAAGTTGATACATATCGATTGGAATGGTGACCATTATAAAAAAAAAACAAACTTCTGTCGACATATGATTTGAAGAACTGAATGATATCTATGGATAAACCAAAACGGCTCAGCTTTTCCAACAAAATTCCATGATCTATCCATGCTGTAATGAAGTTATGGTAACTATAACTGCAGCCAGTCATTACATTATGTTATTTAAAATTATTCTCCATCTCGCAGTCCAAACAAATTAAAGATTACTACATAAGAAATTATAATTATAGAGCAATACACTATCGAAGTAAAAGTTTCGAACCACCAATACAAGTTGGTTCCCATTATTTGAACGCGATTGACTGACGAATGCTTGGAAAAATGAACTCCGACTAATGCAAATTCAATAGAAATTGTATCAGGAAAGATTGTAGGCCAAGGTAGACAATAAATGATATCTTCTCAGAATGAGTGAACGTAAAAATAATTTAGGTCTTTACCGCGTTCACACACACCTAACCATGGCAGAGGCGTGGTGAAACGTGTCCACAGGAGTGTACAACATTAAAGAATAAAAAGTAACCAATAAATATTAAGTGACACTGTACCCGAACTGTACGTCAATAATCGGAAGATAAAACAGTGAGTTTGAATGTGGTTGACAACATTTCTTATTGAACACAGGTTCGGACTTCCCTACATAAAAAAATGTGAAGGGGATAAGAGGAAGAAATGTATCTACTACATAGATCCAGATCTATATATACAGTGCGGACGTAAATAGTACCACACTAATGAGTATTGAACATTATTATTATTAACATTATTATTATTTATCTGATATTGTTTCATTTTTAGAAAT